GACCTACAGGCAGCCATTGTCCTGTGCCGTCAGCTGGGATGTGGCCAGGCTCTGGCAGCCCCAGGCGAGGCCCACTTTGCCCCAGGCTGAGGCCCAATCCTCTTGGACAATGTCAAATGCCGAGGAGATGAGAGCACCTTGCTACTGTGCTCTCACATCCGCTGGGATGTCCACAACTGTGACCACAGCGAGGATGCCAGTGTCCTGTGCCAGCCATTGTGACCTAGATGGCTCTGCACTCCATACCATATCAAAGGAGCCAATGGGGAACTGCCTCTCCTTTTCCAGGATGTCTTCCTTTGATAGCTCCAGTCCCTGGTTCCCCTTTCTCCCCGTGCATGGGAGAGATGCAGTACCTGCTCTAATCCTCTTACTGTGTGGCCTGAGACTGCTACCACCTGCTGAAGGCCCAATAGTGAACATAGCAGTGTTTTGCTCAGTCAAAACAGAAAAAAAAAAAAAAATCTCAATTCCCTTGCTGCCACCATGTTCCCGCTGCTCCTCGGCTCTGACCTGGGCTCCGGCTAGCTAGATGCATAGGCCTTGGCATCCACAAGACGCCAGTGTCGAGGGATGGCTCTGACAATCCACCATGTTGCATCCACAAAGCTCGGCTGAACCCCAGACAATATCTGCCATCCTCGCAGTACCCAGTAGAAATGAGACTCTTAAAGCTTAATGGCTATCTATAGGATTTATATATTTAGAAATGCTCAATCACACAACTAGATGCCCACACAACTAGAGTTGTTACCCAATATCTAACTTTCTATCTATCTTTTATAGAAGTTGCTACCCAGGACAGCTGTTGACCCATCCGTGGTTCTCCATGGCTCCTCCCTCCTCCCCTTCCTCTCTTTTTCCCCTCCCCTTCCGCTTTTTCTCCCCTCCTCTTCCTCTCTTCCCCCAGTTCCACCTCCTCTTCAACTACCTAATCACAAAGCCCCACTGCAAGTACAATGTAGCAGAATAAATATCCTGCTACAGAACCTCACACTAGACGCTCAGCCATAAAGAGGACATCAGTATCATCACCACCACAAGGCTCAGGAACCATCATAGAAGAGGGAGCAAGAAGATTTTAAGAGCCAGAGATCAGAAGGGACTAGAGCTTCAGAAAGTGCTCTGAAAATGACAGGCCCACTGCACTCATAAGCTCATAGCATGTGTGTCTGCTTATACAAGATAAAGGTAGTAAACATCCTAAGACAAGGGGTAGCATAGTAGGTCCCATCCCTAGCCAAGGAGCTACTGACATGGGTAGCTTCTGGGAGAGAGTGGCTTTTAAGGGATGAGCCCCCTGGTATGTCAATCATGCTCCAGTGGACGATACCACACCCAGGAATATATGGCTAACACAAACTGGATGTGGTATGTTATCACAAAAGATACAAACTTGGGAGGGGTGAGGAGGCGGGAAGTGGGTCTGGGAAGAGTAACGAGGTAAATATGATCAAAATGTATTATATGAATTTCTCAAAGAATTAAAATATACTTTTAAATGTCTTCCAAGTTATGAATATGCTTGGTTAATGTTCTAGTTTCACTTCCGTTGCTATGACAGAAAGCAACGTCAGGGAGAAGGGTTTATTTCAGCTAACACTTTGAGAACACAATGTATCACTGTGAAGAAGTCAGGGCAGGAACTTCAAGTAGCTAGCTGACACATCCTCCATCAGAGCAGAAGTTAATGCATATGTATACTCACTCACACTCACCCTGATGGCTTGCTTCACTTAGCTCAGGACGCCTACCTTGGCAATGGTGCAGCCCACAGCAGGCTGGGACTTCCTTCCCGCCACAAACATGCCCACAGGCCAACTCAACATAGACAGACTGACATTCTTCCAAGGTGATTTGATTCTAGGTTGTCAAGCTGACGACAATGAAAACTAACAATCATATGTGATATCATATGTTTATGGATTGAGACGAGTACTTGGCAGAATTTGACTATTAAATAAACAACCAGAACTCAATTGCAGACATTATCATAAAAATTGTGCGCAATTACATCTTGACTTTTATCAATAAAATTATGGCAAGTTGCTTAATCTCATGATGTAGGTATCACATAGTGCTTTTAAGTTTGTTACTTGGCCTGAAAGGCCTAAAATATCTACTAAGTGACCTCTGATCTAGAACATTACCCGTTTCAGAAGCTTGGCAGGCAAAGGTAAACTAGTGAAGGTGAAAAGGGATTTTTTTTAAGCTAGTTAAATAGTATACAGGAAGCCTTAATTCACTAATACAAATAGTTAAGAATTGCAGGTCAGCTAGCTTGCTAACCCAAGGCTGTCACAGGGGATGCAGAGCTAGAGAAACAAAGGTCAATTGAGTGTTCCGAGAATCTGTTCCCGTGGTGTCTGACTTAGCCTCCTCTAGAAAAACTCCCACCAGAGGTCCCAAGGACTTGCGAATTAAATTCAGCCAGATGGTCTGTTGGCTCAGATAAACATTCACACTGTGTCCCAAGGCCACAGGGACCAGAGACTATTCTCGTGAGATTTGTCAAACCTCTGCCTGGGATCTGCTTACACACATTACAGACATTTGAAACAACCAATTGTGTGTGATTACCCACAACCCTCTCTCTCCCCCCAGCCTTTGCCTATATAAACCCTAAGCTACTAGGTCTCAGCGTCGATAACTCCTCCTGTGTGAGGCACGTATCGACCGGAAGCTTCGTATATAAAGGACCTGACTTATGTAATTGCAGCAAGACGGTCTCTGGAGTGTCTTTGGTGTCGCCTCCTTGCTGGGTCCCCTTGGAGGAGTCTTTCATTGGTAATCAGTGGTGTGAAGCACAGGGATGTGGTAAGTGAGAGTGTAGGTAAAACAAGCACAGGGAAGTGATGAGCTAAGACCCTGTTTTTCTTCATCTAAAAGCATCTATACACAATTTGTTCTGAAACAACCCAAGTCATATACACTGATACAAGTTATGAGGCACAAATGATGGAGGTTATTCACTCTATAAAAGGGGCAAGAATGGTCTCCATGTAGTCATCCTGTAATATAAACAATATGAGTATAAATGAAGAATACTTAGATGCTTTTATAAATGCTGAGCTGCTCCCTCCTCTCTCATGTAGAGTTTAAGTACTGAACGGATGACTTAAGTCCAGGGCCACCCTAACCTTAACCGACGATTCCTAGAACACGGATTGTTGATGAATCCAGTAGAAAAATCTGAGCTGGGATGCTCACTGATAGACAGTGTTTCAACTAGGAGACCCTTACTGAGTCACGTGACTGAAGGCCACCACTAGTGCATTCTGTGATGGGTGTTTATTCCAGACCATGACTGTTTGCTAAAAGCAAGTCATTTTCTATGTAATGAATTTGAGAACTCTCAGGATATCAATGAGATCATCTATTGAACATTATTATATCCCACAGGGTTAGACCCTTGCTCTGTAAAACTTCCTGGTGGTCTTTCTGAAATGGGATTTCCAAGACCTGGCTTTGGCATGGCCTCTGGAGCCTTGTCACTTGGGCTTGAATTGTGGCTCTGATACTTTTAAGTTATTGTACAACTCTATCTGCTCCTGGCAAGTTACTGTACACCTCTATCTGCTAGAACAGGGGAGATGATAACAGGATGGTTTGTAAGGATTAGAGAACATAGGAAGCATGCAACACATTACCTGGCACAAAAGTCATACAATGGCTATTACTGTACTAGTGTGACAGCGCAGATACTTACGTAGATGAAAGACTTACACATTTTGTCTCTAGGAGGACATCACTGGGAGGGTGAGAAAGAAGTACAAGTTTAGAATATTCCCATTTTCCCATTTATAGATATGCTCTTTCTCCATTTCATTTAACCTAACAGAGTCAGGTAAAGATTTCTAAGTCAATGCAAAGCAAAGCTTGAGTTTTATTAATTAGTTCATGAACTGTAGGTATTTCTGTGATTTCTGCACATGAGTGCAGCAAAGCCCTACCAAAGGTTCATTGTCATCACTTCTTCATCAGATTTATAGATCGGACATAAAGGCATGAACTATCAATTAGCAAAAACCGAATATGAGGAAGATGACATGCTCACTCCAGAATGGATTTGGATTAAGAAGTAACTTGATCTAATTTTAGTTTTTTACTAATTTACATATATAATCTTGGCTTATTCAACTTCTTGTTTTTCTCATTTATCAAAGATGAGAAGTATTGTGACTTCTAGCAAAGAAGTTTGGTTCCACAAGATGCATTGAAATGGATCTGCACTCAGTAACGATGGTATTGTTACATATGACTATTAATGCTAACAGAACCAAAGACTTGATTCATTTAACTCTATGCCCATAAAATTACCATCTGTTGTGACAGAAGTTTGATAGACAATCCTTTAATTTCCTGGAAAGGCCTATGTTCCATACCCAGGGGCTTATGTGACAGACTCACACAAGCTGGGATGCTCATGCATCTGTCCAACCCACACCCAAACTAAACAAAACCACGAGCACAGTAAAACCCCTTGAAGCTTTGGTGGAAAACTACATCAGTCTATAATTTATGCAGAGAAATTTCACTTACATGGTACCTTTTCCAGTCTCAACATCTCATCATAAAATAAGCTCACATTGGCAGTGAAAGGTGCCATTGATGTATTAAGTTTTATTAGTTCACGTCTTTGAATCTGCCATTAAAGCAGGTTAATGCTGTGCTCTGGTTTGTCATGAGTGTGGCTCACAGCTGGGAACAGTATTAGGTTTGCCTCACTTTGCACAGCTCAAAACAGTCCCCGAGACTCTTACTGCCGAGGAAGGGCCACATCACAGGTCGGGCTTTTCTTGACACAGCCTGCTGCTAGGATGAAACATATGCACTTGTCTGGACCACTATTCATAAAACATTAGAAAAATAAGTTTTATGAGGAAAATAGAGACTTGGATAATAACACTGAGTGTTATAATAAAAAAGGCATTTGGAAATACGTACCAGAAAAACACTATAAGAAGAAGAAGAAAAAAAAACCACATGCACACAAAATGTACCATAAAGTCAAGCTTTTTTTTTAATGTATAAGAAACTCCATACATAGGCAAATCATTTATGTCTTTCCTGTCAGATGAGGGTCAATGCTTCGATCCCTGTCTGAAGAATAGAAGTAAAAACGAAATCTCTTCCATGAATCTATCTATATGCAGCCCATTTCTCAGCTTGGTCCAGACTGCAATAAAGCCCTGAACACAGCAGCCAGCTGTGCTGTACTGTGCAGCTGCATAGGCTGGGACTTTACAAATCTCTTCACTTTCAAACCCCTTGGTTCGCCTCCAAGATCCAGATCTTATAAATGAGAAAATACAGGTTATCTGGGCTGCCAGAAAAGGCCACTGAATGCATCCTGTAGCGCTCTGTGACAAGCAAGAGAAGAAGTATAGCCGCCAGCAAGATCCTGTGGAGATGCAGCCCTGACGTGGTTTAAATACCTGAAAGAAAACAGAAAGCACAGCATTGACATGAAAAACGGAAGCCAGTAACACTTTGCAAAGTAAGTGCAAAACTAATTCCACATTTGGAAAGGAATTTCAAGATTGAAATGTTCAGGTTTTTATAAATGAACATTACTTTTTAAAAGGAAACATGCCAACTGTGTGTGTGTGTGTGTGTGTGTGTGTGTGTGTGTGTGTGTGTGTATATATCTCCCATATATCTCCCAACTACTACTACTAAGTTATAAAGGACAAGTCTAAGAATAGTCCTTATAACCTATAAATTTGGATGAAATGTTAAAATGTTCACTGTTTCACAATTTCCGACTCGTTTCGTTGGCGGCTGTTTAGGCATCCAGTGAATGCGGTCCTTTCTAGATGCTCCTGATAAATACACAGCATGACACTATTATGCTACAAACATTTTTATGAAAGCATTTTAAAGCAAAACCTTACATACAGAAAACAAATGCACTCAGGAAGAGAGCACACAATAGTTCAAAATCACCTCAGTATCCCAAAAGCATACTGTTTCCCTCCTTGCAAGGAAAGAAACCTTAGAAATCACATGACAAGAAGCCTGAAACAGAGCCTAAGCTGAAAAACAATGGACTGAAGAGTCATATTTATAGTCAGACGTACAAAAGAACTGAACCCATCTCAAAAGACAGAACAACAATGTTTCTTCACTCTCAGTTTTTTTACCAATGAAAAATTTCTGCCTTCATAAAAATAGACAAAACAGGCCTAAAAACTCAGAGGATCTCAGCAGAGGACTGACTGTCAGCCAGACGGCCACACTGCAGGGAAGAGTAAGTCCAGCCTTGCTTTATGCCTCTTAGGAAGCCACATGGGCCCTGAACACAAAGCTGCTTCACCCACTTTCAGAATTACAGGTACGATAAATGAATAAATCAGGAAGCAGGACATTTTAATAGCTTGGAACCTTTTCTACTTATTCATTCAAACTTCCTGTATGTCAAGATCTTAATGCATGAGCAACTTCTCATTTCTAACATAATAACAAGTCGGTTTTTTGTTTGTGTCTATGTTTTAATAAGCTTGTATGATTAAAACATATATGGCAACTTATGGGACCAAATAGAAGAAACTGTCAAAATGAGACAGGCCAAGCCCTGGAACTGACTATAATTTATTCATATTGCCACAAATCATGGTCTTAACTCTGCTTTTCTGCCAAGGGTAAAAGTCAAAGGAGAAAGAGATGAATGTTTATCGAGCAACAATCTAAACTATTTGGGTAGTATATTTATAGCACACAAGTTATTTGCACATCTACCCTCAAAACTTATTTATAAAGAACATTAGTAATACTCTATGCATTGTTGTCATATAATTATATACAACTATAGGGTCATATGAAATGTATATAAATGAAAAATTTAAGAGATAAAATAAAGATGAATTACACCATGTTATACACCTCTGAAGATGCATCCTACTTCAGAAACTATGTGAAGCAAGTGTCACTGATGAGCTCCTAGCAGAGCCTTAAGTCTCACAGAAGCTGCACAGGAATGAATTAAATCTACCACATAACTATAGTGTTATTTTATTACTCTCCCAGAGCACAAGGGGGTTCTGCTGCTTAGGGCAGGGTGTGGTAGTGCTTGCCTCTAATTCCAGCAAAGGTAGAGGCAGGCAGATCTCTGAGTTTGAGGCCAGCCTGGACTACAGAGTGTGTCCAGGACAGCCAGAGCTACAAAGTAAGACTCTGTCACAAAAACAAAACAAAACAAAAAGCCCCACAAGAAACAAAACAAAGTAAGAGCAAACAAAACAACCCAGGAAGGATTCCTATCGATCAACAAACAAGGTATATGGTAAGCTGCCTCAGAAATACCTAACTCAGTTCCTAACACTGGAAACTCAATGCTAATCACACAAATAAGTAATGAAATTTAAATACTTCCATTTTGACTTGTGTTTTAACTGATTTTTATCATAAACCAAATAATGGCACATTACTCTCTCCTCAGATCCTCAAAAGAAAGATCCTAATTGGTTCACACCCCGTAGAATCCAAGCACTGTAGTGTTTGTTGACAGTCAGAAAACAACTGTCACAAATGGAATTGGCTTTCCCAGCTGTAATAAAAATCCATATGCAGCTAGCTATTGATTCATTGCATTTGGTCTGGTTTGCTTCTGGGAAAGTTGAGTCACACCATCCTGGCTTGGCAAGTCCAGTCCACACACTTGCAGTGTGCATCCAGCTTTTTATATGTTATGCTGAGAAGTCTGAAACAGCTGCACAGCTGGCAGGCAAGCCCAGGCCCCGTAAAATACCTAAAACAGTTGCATCTTCTAATTTATGATGGTGCACTGTTTCCATAAAGAGTATATAAAACAGTTCAGCTTTTATAAGGAAAATGTAATAAACAGTCATACTCATTGAAGCCATAAATGCATTTTTTAAAAGTTTATCTAAAGTGATTAATTAGTGTTTGAAAATAGTACTTCTTGCACAGTCATAATCCAAAGCAATGAGCAAATATTGTTAAAGTTGAGTTATTAATGGTAAGTTGTGTGATTCTCACTGCCAAAATAAGTCAGTTAAAATGTCTTTGCACTGAAGACTATGCAGTCCCTTACACTAAGCATGTCTGGGACTACGGTCTGTAAGAGTCCTCCCTACTTAGAGTGCTCTTTTTTTTTTTTTTTTAAATCTCCAGGGCTACACAAAACTTTTACTGTTAACTGTTTTAAAGTATTTGAACCAAGGCAATCTGTATTAATTCCATTTTAAAATATAGTTGATTCTTAGTATTTGGTTGTAGGGTTTTGTTTCTTGGTGCTTTAATTCCCTGTTTAAATCCTTTAATCATTCTGGTATGCCAAAGTTCTTTAAGGATCTGCCACATTGGAACCAGACATCAAGAATTTAGGGTTTTGCCTACTTTCCCCACCTGTCTCCATACCTCTTGTTTATTCTTCTGTGATAATTATAAATGACATCTCTTGGGACTATGTCAGAGGTCAGGAACATTTAATGTGTAATTTTATATA